GCAAACTGTTGTTCTTCTAAGTCCCACACCCAAACTAGCTCGCAGCAGGCGCACCACAACGCTGCGACTTTCTCAAGCCCGAATGCCTCCGCCGGAGAAATCCGCAAAAAACCAGGAATGCGAATTGTTCATGAAAACTTACCGAAACCCAGCCTGAATCTCTGCTGTTGAGGTGTGGGGAGTCGGAACATAAAAACCTAAACCCCTAAACCCCTAAACCCTAAACCCCTAAACCCTACACCCCTAATAAACCGTAAACCCATAAACCCTAAACCCCCAGTAACCCTAAACTCTAAACAACTAAACCCCTAAACCCTAAACCTTAAGCTTTACAACCTCAGGCCGTCCTGGAGATACAGCGGCGGAACGAAAGACCCTGGCGCCTGAACTGATGGGCTTAAAGGCATATGGCTCAGGGTCTACGACATCGGGTTTAGGATTTAGGGCTTTAGGGTTTTAGGGTTTAGGGTTTAGGGTTTAGGATTTAGGGTTTAGGGTTTTAGGGTTTTAGGGTTTCGAGTTTAGGGTTTAGGGCTTAGGGTATAGTGTTTAGGGGTTAGGCTTTAGGGTTCTCAGGGTCTACGACATAGGTACAGGTGGAGCTGCGGGTTTGATGTTGAGGTTGTACAGCAAAGCTTTTCATCGGCTTCGGAAATTCCTGAACCCTAAGTCGAAGGTGGGTAGCTCTCCAAGTTCGAGTCCCGCCGTTCCCTAAACCCTAAACCCTAAACCCTAAACCCTAAACCTAAACACGTCATTCTCTCAAAATACCGGCTTCGGGGGAGTCTCTGGGCCGAGGCTCCAGCCCAAGAATGCAACCGTACACAGCCCGGGCTCGAGCGTTTGGGACTTTAGGGTTCAGGCTTCAGGGTTTAGGGTTTAGGGCTTATAGGGTCTAGGGTCTAGACTTTAGGGGTTTTAGGGTTTAGGGGTTTCTGGATTTTGGTGGGATTATGTGTGGCCTGGACTCGATCCGAGCACTCGTTTTCCACGGCACTGGGGGTCAATTCGTCGCCGCAAGTCTTGGTGCTTTGCAGCTGCATGGGAAACGTGGCAAGGAGGCTGCGTCGGACGTTTGGGTTTGCGCCGGACCCCAAACCTCCCACAACAAAGTACGCCCGGAGTTTCGACCATACTGTTTGTATCTATGTCACGCAGGAACACACTCACTATTCACAGGAGATTCGGGAACCCAGTGGAAAGAAGGTCGCTGCAACTAAACCTGAAGCCACGGAAGCTGAGAATCCCATATAAAACCCTATTTAAAAAAGGGCAAGACCCCATGAGACCTTGTAACAAACCTACGAGACCTTGTTGTAAAAACACGTGACAAAAGATGATTCGTGCATCCTCTTGGGCACCAATTTGTCGAAACGCGTAGACCCAAAACGCCGAACCCTAACCTTAAAGGAAACTACAGGAGGGGAGTTTAGGGTATATAGGACTTCTATCAGGCCTCTATAAGGTATATAGACCTTCTATAAGGCTCCTATAACGGTAACTACCCACCTGAAAATGTCCCTAAACCCTAAACCCTAAACCCTAATCCCATAAACCCTATAAGCCCTAAACCCTAAACCCTAAACCCTAGTCCCATAAACCCTATAAGCCCTAAACCCTAAACCCTAAACCCTATAAGCCCTAAACCCTAAACCCTAAACCCTAAAGCGTGGCCCATCAGAAGAGGCAGCCCATATCGGGGTGCTCTTGGTGAAGCTGCTGAGCAGTCCAAAGGCGCTTGTTGAAAACGATGCCTTTCAGATTCGAGTTTAGGATTTAGGGTTTAGGGTTTAGGGTTTAGGGTTTGGGGCGTTCGCTAATTGGGGCCTCCTTGTAAGTCCCAGTATAGTACGGAACCCTTATAAAAAAGGACTCTACAGTCCCTACAAGCCTAAAAGGGACCCAAACTTTGAGAACTACCCATTTAGGGTTAAGGGCTGAGGGGCTCATCGGATGAAGCGCTTTGGGGATTCAGGGCTTAGGATCAGTGGCGGCTCTGGCTTGTAGCTCTTGTCCGCAGCTTCTAGCTTTTCATTGCGAGCTTGCGGCCAGTGTAGCAGTAGCAGCACTTCTGGACTTCGTAAGAGTTTCCTATGCAACTAGCTGTAGATGGTAGTGGTCTTCCCTTGCTCGACTTAGAAAGCTCCAAACTAAGCCTGCAGGGTTTAGGATTCAAGATTTAGGCTTGAGGTTTAGTGTTCCAGCTCTGAGGTTCAAGGGTCAGGATTAGGGCGGCCAGGGCTTGGGGAGCCAAGATACCCGAGTTCGGCCATTTGCCTTGGAGATACCTGGGATGGGCTTTATGGTTGTATAGGGTTTAGGGTTTAGGGTTTTGGGTCATCGAGGCTTCGGAGAGCATCCTGGTCTTTGGTGGTTCAGCGCTGAAGGATTTGCTGTCTGAGGGCCTTCGGCGATTATGGGGGCTGCGACTAACTGCTAGCGGTCACCATCCCGATGCATTTTTTTTTGGGGGGGGGGGGCTCAGATTCTTGAGGCACTGCAGGGAATCATCAGAAGTCGGGCTTATCGTTCGAGGGCAGAAGCGGGGCGAGATGTACCAAACCTGAGCTGCTTCCCATCTTTGCCTGGCGAAGCAAACTGCTCCGCGTTCGTGAGGGCCACCCCAAACCCAAAACCAGAAACGGTTTACAAGCTAGCGGTTTCTGATTACGCCCGGGCCTTCAACTTAATTCCAAAATCGTGGAGGGCTAAAGACCCCGACTTCATCTCCCAGCCCTTAAGCCCAGCCTCGCCCAAAAACTCTACACTGTAGACCGTCAACTCTACATGATGGGGCTCCTGAACGAAAACGACGAAAATCCAAAAGACCTTAATGGAAAGCTAGTAAACCCTCAAAAGCCTTGCAAAAAAATCCTCACTGAATGCCGCAAAAACCGACAAGAGATGTAGTCGATATTGAACTCAGACCCCGAAAACAAAACAACCCAAAATGCTAAACTCATCGAAGAGCTGGTCGTGGATTCGGTTGATGTGTATCGCGGACACGTTCCTGAGCATGCAGGGCGTTGGGGCTTTAGGTGTTTGGGGTTAAGGAAGAACGAGTATGGGGTTTAGAGCTTAGGGTGTTGGGGCTTTGGAAACTTTGGAGTGTTCGGGTGTTTCGTGTTTTAGGGCTTGGGCTTTGGAGGTTTAAGGAGGGATTTCGGGGGTTAGGGTTGAGATTTAGGGTTTACGTAGACCCTCAGCTAGACTTCAACTCGTGGTTCAGGCTTTGGGGGTTTAGGGTGTAGGATTCTGGATTTATGGTGTAGGGCTGAGGGTTCGTGACGGGAACGGTTTGTTACGCATGCGTTGGGTTTTGGTAGTTGGCTTAGGTTTGGAGAGGCGTCGCCTCGACAATGTTTTGGTTGCTTAGGGCTTAGGGCAGGGGCACCGCGAAGATCAGGATGCAGACCCTAGACCCTACTTTCCCTAAAAGGCTAAAATCTGAAAATCACAAAGCCGTGAACGGCCGTGAATCGCACAAGCATCATATTTCCGAAGAGCCGTAGTTCACCGTAGGAACCGTAAGAAACCTAAAACCCCTAAGAACCGTACGATCCCCCAAAAGGGAAACCCTCACAAAGATTGCCTTGAGCACAAAATCGAGTAGCGGGTGCACTGCATGGTGGGCCGTGTAGAAGAGCTTCACGGCGCCATGCTTGTAGAAGCGCTTGTCGTCCGTGATGTCTCCTGGGGCTTTGAAGCTACGGAGGTCGAAACTCCTAGCAGCTGGGGATGCCCTGAGCCTGCTGTGATGTAGGGGCCTAACTGATTACCAAAACTGTTTTGGGGGTTCCTTGTTATGAGTATCGTCGGGTTTAGGATTAGGGCCTAGGGTTTAGGGGTTTAATGGTTTAGGGTTTAGGGCTTAGGGCCACAACCCCATTATTAAGGGGCCCCCATATTACATCACACCTTCTTTTTCGAGCCAAGCATGGCCCACATCCTACGCAAGCTTCGGTTGATCCGAAGACCGTGAAGAGCAGCACCAAACGGGCCGGCACTGGGTTTACGACAGTTTACAGGTTGTTTTTAGGGTTTGGGGTTTAGGGCTTAGGGCTTTAGGATTTGAGGGTTGCCGAAAATAGAGGACCCTAATATAGTACCCTAGATAGTAGGATCCTTATTGTAAGGACCCCAAAATAAGGTACCCCAATTTTCGGAAAGTTCCATTTACAGTTTCAGAGCTTAGAGCTTTCGACATCTGCGGGTCTATGAAGGAGATCTCCAGTCCAAGTCGCCGGTCTTGACAGGGCCCCCTGGCCTCCAGCGGAAGAAGGCCTGACACAAATATAATATAATAGAATATAATATGATATAATATATATGATATAATACAATATGATATAATATAAAATATTACAGTATAATATAATATAATATAGTATAATCGAATAGAATAGAATAGAATAGAATAGAATAGAATAGAATAGAATAGAATAGAATAGAATAAAATAATATATATTATTATCTACCTCTGCACACCGGTGTGCATACCACCCTGTATGTATGTACGCAGGGGTATGTTTACTGGATTTGGCAGCTTTATGAACGAAGTCTCTAGCTGACTCTGGCCTTCATCGCCTTGCTAGGTAGCCAACCTTGCTACGCCGAAAACCGCAAACCATTACCACGAGTGCAACAACAGCGGCACATGCACCAGAAACAACAACGACCCAGAAGAAAGACGGGCACACCAGCACAGGGGCACAGGCAATAGCAGCAGCAAAATCAGAAGAAGCGAAAAGCAGCAGCAGCAGCAGCAGCAGCAGAAAGACCACTCACACAGAGACGCTTCTCAGAACAAGCACAACGACAACAAAGCAAATAGTGCAGCCAACGACCGGCTTCATCGGCATTACGTACACCATCAGCATGCTCAGCCTCGCTGCGGCCACCACCATGATCATAATCAAGATTTTGATCTACCTTGAACTCCCTAAATTATGAGAACGGGAACGACAGGCAACACCTAATCTTGCTGAATGCTCACGGCATCAGACACGGTCGGGGCTTTGAGAACTGAGGGTCCATCCCCAGGCAGGCGGCGGAACGTTGCCGAGGACTTGCTTCTGGCAGTGACCGCGGCTCTGATTGCGGCATTTGAAAGCGTTGGGTTGACAGTTGGGAGGATGAACGGCTAGATGCTGCTGCTGAGGCGAAGCAGTAGGAGAAAGGAGACAGCTGTCACTAGGGTCTCATCAATCGAGACTTTAACACCGACGACGAACTTGAGAAACCTTGTTGTGATCTGTCATTCACAGCCACAGGTTCCGAGGCCATACCAGGTCACACGGGGTCACACAGACCACCCCAAGCCCTCATGCAAGTAATTCCACCAGGGCGTGTCCTGGGCGATGCTGCCCTGTTCCTCGATGTCGACTCTCAAACGCAGCTCTTTCCTGCCACCATAGCCGCCATAGCCACAACATGAAGACTGCATGCTACATGACAGCCAGCATGCTGGCAGTAACGCAGATCGAGAATGAACACAGCAGCAGGAGGCCATCGACCCTGATCGCCTCATCGAGTATTGAATCACCTGGGTACAGTACTTCATGTAGTGCCACTTCGCAAAGTAGACCTGGCGTGTGATGCAATCAGGGGCAGACGGATGCACGCATGCGACAGTTACTACAGCTGCATCCAACGACTACATCTACATGTCGGAATCAGGAATACACGAACACAAACACACAGCCACATAAACAAACACCTGTGCCCACAGATGTGCTTAGTCGAGCAGTGCCCCTGCATGTTCTGCACTTTAACCAAATGATGCATAACAATGCCCCTTGTGGCACACTTCAGTTCAGGGTCTTCTATTGGCTTTGGCTGTAAAAACATCAAGATTCGGTTGGAGGGCCTTGGCCTTGCACCAAGTCTTACAGCGTGCAGCAGTTCGTTGCATTGGGCGATTCTCTTTCCAAGCCTTACGCACGTTCACGAGCAACTTGTCGCAATCGACGGAAAACTCTAAATTTTGCCATACATCCTGTTTTAAAGTCGCAATCGTCCTGATAGAACCTACTACAGGAGAACACCGTTCAGAGGCACTTTCTTGCAAAATCGTGTAGATTAGCATTGACAAGCGGTTACCATGACCATAGTATACATACGACATTCCCTCGTTGCGTTTCAGTGCATACACCTACATCGACCTATCTGTTCACATGTGTCGAAAGGCCTGAAGCTTTGTCCTGCCTTCCATAAAAAATACTCTCAGTTTTGCAACTTTCTGCTTCCAAAAGCTGCAGTACTTATACTTACACTTCATGTGGTCAGCTGGCGCTGCATGATGCTGTACTTAAAGCTGCGCTTCCTACAATACTGCATGGTGCCGTGATACGTAGATTGTAGAATCAAGCTGCGTAACTTCGAAGACTTATCGCAAGATAGCCTTCAATTTACCCGGGCCTGGTTTTGGCGGTTGATGACCCGCGTGTCAGTTGGAAACTCTCGGCCTTGGCAAGCTTGAGGCGAGGCCACTTTTGGCCTTGACCCTCAACTTCTCATGCCTAACGGCCTAACCTTAAACCCAAACATGCCAAACCATTCTATGCTTCATTTCTCCTGCCGTGCTGTTGGAGTTAACAACCAGGTCAGGTCCTCCAGCTTGCGGCCTGAACCTTCAAAAAAATCCAAGTAATTCAATACACAAAAGCACAGACGCCTTTAAGAAAGCACCCTGTCCGAAGATCTCTACATGAGTTCTGCTAGTTTCCGGGCCAACACAGGAACCTTTTGTGCGACTCAAAAGGGCTGTTGGTGACAGTTCGTTTTGGGGGAAAGAGATCCTCCGCTCGTGTCCGCAGTGCAATCCGGCTGATTGTTGATGTGCAGCCTCTGAGCTGCACCGTTTATAATGTGCCTCTTCTTCGTGTTTCTACTAGTCATCTACTAATACTCACGAACCGTCTTTCTAGAATCTCTTGCTGCGAATATCCCAACTCGCCTGCCTCGACGACTGCTGGTGCGATCCCGCCTATATTACAGCGCAGACGACTCCCTGCTGTAGTATTCACATTCATTTTCGCGTCTACTAGTCCGACGAGGATCACTACCAGTGGTACGATAGTTTGATGCAAAGATCAAGCCGAGAGCGCGGCGAACCGTCCGAGCAGCCTTTTGAATGTCACCATTCCTCGGACAACCACTGGACAACCCAAAGCATCCAAGTACCAAAGTTTACATACTATACTTATTCGTCGCCCGAGCGGTCACAGTTCTGGAGCCAAGAAAGCAGTCCAGAGAGCTTGGTGTGATGCCTTGCTGACGCCTTGCTGATGCTGCAGGAACAGCACGCACACACACAAGGGAATTTGTACCCAGGCTCTGTCTCGCCATGCGCTTCAGCGCATTGAACTGCCTGGTGCATTGTTAAAGCAGAGCGCGACAGAAACATTCTGTCGAACTCCCAGGATGGGACTCGACCCTTCACAGGATATTGATGGCATGTTGATTCCTTTATGTCTCGTATGCAAAGCGGTACCTGATCACGTCGTTCGGGCGATCTGCGTCCACGACGGCTGAAGGTGCAATCCTTGGAATCGCATCGCATCGATTTCTTTCTCTGCATGCTGCTGGATAATGCGCCGACTGCATCGGACCGGCTGGGGTCCGCACAAGTCACGAGGCATCGCATGTGTCCATTCTGCCAGATTGTATAAAACATAAAGACGGTGACGTCTCTGTAGCAAGGCGCGCAACGCGTGCAGGAGGTACTCTGGCGCACGGACGACATTCGCATGGCCAAAACGCCATGGCACTTGGCCAACATGATAAGAAATGGCCACCTTTCTCCGATTTGACTTTGATAGAAGAACACTAAAAGGTCAAACACTCAGACTCCATCCACAAATCTACCCAAATTCTTTAACTCTCATCTACTATCCGATGGAACCGGAACACGTCCGCTGTGTGGATTGGAATCAACAGGTTTCACGATCAACACAAATTCTCGCTGTCAAACTTATAAAACCCAAAAACTGTACAGGAGGTGAAAGACCGAGAACAGCTCGGCTGGCTAGATTTCGACATCTACCATAAATCTGAGCCAAACAAGCCAAAAGCTACAAAATAAGAGCAAGACAGATCGCTTTGTGCACAAATGTCAACATGGCGCCACTAGCTTGCATCCTCTGCAAGCATGTGGTGACTTCATCTTTTTTCCAAAGATGCAGTTTGGCGGTTCCGATCGTCATACCGTTTTGCTGCAATCTGCCATTGCTAAGTTTCGTTACGGATCATAAGCGTCAGTTTCGCTTCCTTGGCTAATCAGGTTACACTCACTCGAGCCGAGTCAAATGCACTCTCGGCATGCTTCCAAGAGCCAGACGTTTCTGCAACAAGTCTGCACAAGTTTTTAACGCGCAAAAACAAAAATTAGCGGTGTTCACCTCTTTTCCAGTCAGTGCGAAGTGAAACACACTCACAAAGGAAAAGTTGCATCACTGACCCCCACCGTGTTGCAATGCATGCTCTGGAGGCCCTTCCAACACTTGGCAAAATCTGGACAATTTCCGGACCCAAAAGCGGG